AATATTAAATTCTTGTTTATTGAACTGCTGTATAAAATCAATATCACATTTGTAATCATGCTGCTTTTTGGTGGAAAAAACGTCAGTCTTCGCGTGATACTGATTAACTATATTAAATGATATAAATATATACATTTCTGCCCCCATATATTGAATTATGTGATCATTCTAAATGCATTTTAATAAACTGAATCATGCAGTGAACTGAATCATGTAGCTCTCATGAGTCATGGATGTTAGCAAGGCAAATTAACTATAATTTATTTTTGTCTGTAAATTAGCTGTAAATTCGAGGCACAGGTAGCTTAGTCTTTTGCTCATCACCACTCAAGTCCACACCAAGACAAACACAACTGGAAAGGGAGGGAGGGCTTCACTTCTGCGGCTCTCTGCCTGATGCGCATGTGCCGATCAATGTGTGCTACACTGCTGTGAGAACTCGACAGTCTCAACATTTCCCGACCCGACCTGATATTTAGGTTTTTTATTAGTTTGACAGGGAAATCTGTGCGCAAACAGAAACACACACTCAAGCGCACATATAGCTATACATATATTCATTTATATAAAAAAAAAGACACTCCCCAGAAAAAAAGGGCACTTTCTCTCGAGGAAGGGCAGGTGCTCAAGTCCCCTTTGATGTCTATGTGTGCACGTGCCTGGAACTGTAAGCTTAATATTATCAGTGTAGAGAGAAAGAGAAATGGCTAAATAACTCAAGACAGCCGGAACTCAAATTAAACCAAAATAAAGCTGCTGAAAAGGCCCTTTAACACCACAGATAACGTGCAAGTTCACCATGCAATTCTGAGAGTAATATGGAAATTAGGCCTTGCCTAGGATGTGAAAGTGTTGAACAGTACATAAGGAACTCACAGAATTAATTATTTTGTTGAAATCCCATAAATAAATATATATTCCATAAATACAACATGTATATACTGTATATATATATATATTTGTGTGTGTATGTGTGTGTACTTTTGCTTTAGTATAATGACAGTATCAAAGGAAATCAATTATATTTTTTTCTCTCAAAGTATAACTGGGTCTTTGTACATGAAACTATATCGCTTTTAGGACAGGGATCCCTTTGCAAGGCAATCATCAGACTTGGGGGTCTTTGGTCTCAAAAAACCCTGAATTAGATTGTAAAGTGCATTTTAAAAGCTCACATAATTCATAGTAGTTCTTTGCTAAAGTAAGAGATTCATGAAGACATACAGTATGAAATTATATTTTTACTTTTTAATTGGGGGGGGGGGGGGGTATTTGTTTTGATGTC